ATGTATCAGGCAGTATGTATGTATCCTCCAGTCTCAAAGGTCCAATAAGTGTTGTTCCTTTTTTTTTTTTTTTAAGAATTTGAGGTTCTCTTCCACATTTTTCTCCCATTCTATCAGAATCCACTCATTATAGCCCTAATTAGATGGTCCATAGCTGTAGCCAGGCATCATCTAGTTCTTCTCAGGGTAGATGAGGCTGTGGTTCTTGAGACCATTAGTCCTGTAGGTTAGTTTCTTCTTTGAGTCTGATTTCCTTCTTTGACTTTTGCTATGGAAGAATAGCAACCAATAGTTGTATCTTAGATAGCTGCTTGCAGGCTTTTAATACCTCAGATACTACTCATCATTGGTCCATCTTTCTAAGTAAATCAATTTATCCAGTTAATTTTGGGTTACTTTAATCATCAATTTTATTTATTTATTTATTTATGAATACTAAATGATGGCACATTGTGTTAGTTCTAGTGAAATATTACTGACTTTTAACATGTGCATGATAATTTTTTAGACTTAGATACTGTCACCTTCTAAATAAATACTGATATTGAGAGTTTACATCCCTATTAAAAAGCCCTGATAGCACGATGCTGAAGTATCAGCTGCTAACCAAAAGGTTGGTGGTTTGAACTCACCAGCTACTCTGTTAGAGAAAAGACTAGTCTGCTCCTGGAAAGTTGTTGGCCTCGGAAACCCTATGGGGCCATTCTGCTCTTTCACATCGGGTTGTTAAGAGTTGGAATCTATTTACACACCAACAGTGTCATGCAGCAGCATCATATCCCTTACTTGAGTTACACTGTTAATCCCTCCAGACATTTTTGGTAATTGTTAGTTGGCATTTCTGTCAGAACATGAGAGCATTTTTATATTCCACCAATCAAGTGTAAATTTTTATCCTTTTATAAAGCAGTAAGACCCCAGTGGTAGGAAGAGAAAGAAAGAAACGTTAATTCTTCTCCTTTTAGAGTAGATTTTACGTCATTTAGAAATGTATATACATATAAACATATACATATATGCACATGCATACACACAGACCCGTATGTTTGTATATATATTTTTGTTTGGAAGCTAACTTAGTTTTCTCTTGCTTCTAAATTGGTCTATTAGTGTTTTTTCCAAGTCACATATGGCAGTTCTGGGAAGGATTGTGAATAGAATTCTATGCTATTTCAACTACACCATGATTCTGCATGTTTTGATGCTAAGCTTCTTTCAGATGCAAACCCTAGACTCCTCAGACCTCCAGGTTGCATGGTTCAGCTTCTTACCTTCTCAGTGAAGAACTCTGTACCAGAAAAGGAATTCCAACTATGGTCAAAGCAGTGGTATTCTCATAGATTAAGATGGAACCTTACATTTTCTGAGCATCTGCTTAGAGTAGCAACTCTTGTTCAGATTTGTGAATACTGGAATGTTAGCCTAGATCAGGAATAGACAACCTTATTCTGTAAAGAACCAGATAGTAAATATTTTAGGCTTTGTAGACCAAATAGTCTTTATCTCAGCTACTAACTCATTGCTATTCAGTCGATTTCGACCCATAGCAACTCTATGGGACAGAGTGAAACTGCCCTATAGGGTATCCAAGGCTGTAAATCTCTACAGACGCAGACTGCCACATCATTCTCCTATGGAGCAACTGGTGTGTTTGAACTGCTGACCTTTCGGTGAGCAACCTCATAGACAATACATAAATGAATGAACAATAAAACTTTATTCATGGGCATTGAGTTTGAATATCAGAGAAATTTGATGTGACAAACAATATTATTCTTTATTTTTTTTCCCCAAAATCATTGAAAAACGTAAAAACCTTCTTAACTTATGGACTGAACAAAAATAGGCTACAGGTCACATTTGGCCTATAGGGCATGGCTTTTTGACCCCTCACTGAGGTTTTTAAATCTTGTGTGTCATTTACTTGTTCAGATTTTTCAGTGTGGGGCTGTTAATGTTTAATGGCTTCCTGTTGATAAATATGTCTATTTTTACAGCTATACTATGGAGTAGTTGTTTACTTATATATTTATTTATGTGATTCAGACGTGACCTCTGATAATGGGTGTAACAAAAGGTTATATTTGATCTTGGAATGAATGTACAAAAATATTTAATGTTGATTTGCTGTATGGCAAGGGTTTCCTGAAGAAATAAATTTGGACAGCACTGCCATATGTCTTGGCAATTCATTGTGTCTATTAGCATATTAACTGAATATAGATTCCTTTTTTTAATGACAGCTATAAATATCTTCCAGAATATACCTTGAAAAATACTGGTTAAATACATTTCAACAAAGCCAGAATAACGGGAAATTTTTATACTTCTGTTCAAAACAGAGACTCATTGCACAGAACTCATTGATAGGTCTCTGTGTGCTCTGTGGTGCAGTGTTTAGTTTGCCTGTTTTTTTTCTCTTTATGCAAGAAAGAATAATACAGACCCACCTTGTAAAAGCATAACAAAATTACTTATGTGGGATTAATTGTGTTTTTAATATGTTTGAAAGCTGACTTTGAAAATGCTTTTAGAACTTTGAAACACCCTAATAATAATATTCACAGTCTGTTGTTAAAAGATATCAAGTTTAGAATGGAAAGGAAAACAAAGCATGTGGACTATCCAGTTTAAAAGGTCTAGATATTTTTAACGAGCCCTGCTGGCACAATCGTTAAGCACTTACCCTGTAACCAAAAAGTTAACAGTTCAAACCCACCAGCCATTGTGAGGGAGAAAGACGTGGCAGTCTGCTTCTGTAAAGGAGCAGTGCTCCTTTGTTCTACAGGACAAAGGAGTTGGGATGGACTCAACTGCAATAGGTTTCATGTTCTTGTTTTTTTCATATTTTTAAAGGTCTACCATGTCAAAGTAGTAAAAAACAAAACAAAAGCCCACTGCCATTGAGTTGATTCCAACTCATAGCAACCCCCACTGGGTTTCTGAGGCAGTAAATCTTTACAGTTGATTGCCCAGTCTTCCTTCCATGGAGGGGCTGGTGGGTTTGAGCTGCCAGCCTTCTGGTTAATAGTCAAATACCTTAAGACAGTGTCCCACCAGAGCTCCTTGTGTCAAAATATAAACTCTTAATGTCATGTACATACTTTCATGATGACAGAGAGTCATCAACATTTTTTTTGAAAGCTTAATATGTTGACATGAAGTACAGTATATTGGGAGGGTATTAAAAATATACCAGGGTTAATTGAATTATTATTTTTTTTCACATTTCTGTCTTAAACCTTATTAACAAGGGAATTTAAGCAGATTTCATAAGTGAACTATTTGAATCATATTATTTCAAGACTGTAGTCTTAATAACTCATTAGCATGTTTTCCACTTTGGTTTGTTTCATGCCATAAATGTCCTTAGCAAGTTACTTTTGCTATCATTGAACTTGTAGCATTGAGATTATCTAATGTCAAAGGTTCCAAGATAGATCAGGATATTTTGTTTTCCTTAGATTACCATTTCTTACAGATTTTTCAACGTGGGGCTGTTAATGTTTAATGGCTTCCTGTTGATAATTATGTGTGTGTGTGTGTGTTAGTATAAACCAAACCAAACTCACTGCCATCCAGTTGATTCCAACTCCTGGCGACCCTCACTGAGTTTCTAAGACTGTAAATCTTTACAGTAGAAATTGCCCCATCTTCCTTCCATAGAGCAGCTAGTGGTTTGAACAGCAACCTTCTGGTTAGCAGTCAAATGCCTTAGGTACTGCACCACCAGAGCTCCTTAATATATATATATACATATATGTAATATATACACACATATGTGTATGTATATATCATATATATATATATATTTATTTATTTATTTTTTTTTTAAAAAACTCAATGTTGTTGAGTAGGATCCAACTTATAGCAACCCCTACTTGGGTTTCCGAGTCAGTGTCTCTAGGAAGTAGATTGCCCAATCTTCTTATCATGTATATGAGATATATATTTTTAAAAATAATCTTTTTATTGTACTGAAAATGAATATACATGAGTAAACATATGCCATCTCAACAATTTCTACATTTATAATTCAGTGATATTAATTACATTCTTCAAGTTGTGTAATGTTTCTTTTATTTTTTATAGTCTATGATTAATAAGTAGAATTTCCTCAAGTATATTGCATCATAATGTAACCCTTGACCTTTTGATTATATGTCTCCTTAAGAGACATGTTTTCAGTCTTAAAAACAAAAGTGATAATTGTCTGCGCCTCAAAACAGATTGGGTAGCTGAAGGTAGATATGAGTGCCAGAGAAATGGCAGTGTAGGTCTGCACTGTTGGCTGGAAGCCCTGCTATCTGATGCTGATGAGGAACAGTGACAGAAGACATATGTAATGAAAGCACATAGATGTCTTCAGAGACAACTGGCTCATGCTTTGGTGACAGTGACAAAGCACTTTTCTAGCATAGGCATGAGCTCCCCAGAGGTTGGATAGGCGGGTCCCAGCTCACCCCAACTTCCTCATTGTACAAAATGCCATTGTTAGAAATTGTTTCTGTATGTTTTAAAATTTTTATTTATTTTTAATATGAAGAGTAGACATATCCTGTTTTTACTTGAATCTCTTGCAGTAGGCACAGAGGTTCTGCATTCAGGCCAAAATTCTCAGCTATTTGGAGTTAATTTTATCCCCAACAATACATAGCCAGGTGGTTGCATTGCTTGGCTACTCCATATGATATCCCCAGGTCTGTTCTTCTGATAGGGCCCGGTGAGACATTTGTAGGAATCTTAGCTTCTCCAATATACTGCTTTGTTCTGTCAGTCCTCTCAACCCACAAATTACTATCTTTATTATTAATTAGACTTAGAAACCAGTTTATCTTATTGTTCCAGAACATTTGGCCAAGCCAGTTAAAATACTTCTCTTACTGGCGAGATCTGATTGTAACTGTATATATTATAATAAGAATTGGTATGTATAGCATTTTAGTTTTAATTAAAAACATTTTTTTTTTTTTTTCATTTTTGTTTTTCTATTTGAAAAGTTAATTGTCACCGCCATCCTAGGACTGGTTGTAGGTGCCATTTTCTATGGACTGAAAAATGATCAAACTGGAATTCAGAATAGGTAAGTAAATTTGAGTCTTGATTTTCAGAAAGAACTGTAAATTTTTCCAGGCTTTTGAAAATTCATTAAGAATTTGAACTTGAGAAGAGTGCAGGCTAAATGTCGTTCTTGTATTGAGGAAGTAGAATTGAAGCATGAAGCAGTGAGGAAAGCTAGTGGAAGAGTTTGTTTCTTCTCCTTACTGATCTGATTAGGGAAGTGGATAGGGCTCAGTCTTTGGTAGCTGTTATGTGGTTAACACTTGTCACTATTGTGATCCTTATCTAGATTCAGTCATAACATGCCCTTAAAAAATTTATTGTTTCATGAAGAGACTTTTTAAAAAATAATTCCTTTTTGTTGTTGGAGTATACACACCAGAACATACACCAATTCAACAGTTTGAACATGTACAATTCACTAACACTGATTACATTCTTCCATTCGTGCAACCATTCTCACCCTCTTTTCAGTTGTTTCCTCTTCCGTTAGCATAACCTCACAATCCCCTAAGTTTCCTATCTAATCTTTTGAATTGTTGTTCTCTTGATCCCATATATAGATCTTAAAAAAACATAATGTTCAAGGCAGACATTCCTTTTATTGTTGTTGTGTGCCGTGGAGTTGGACCTGATTCATAGCGATCCCTCCTTGGGTTTCCGAGGCAGTAGCACTCGGAAGATTGCCCAACCTTCCTTCGTTTTATAGGTTAAGCTAAACTACTGTTCAGCTTTAAGACTTCAGAGGACAGTTTTGGTTTAAGGTTTAAAGATGATCAGGAAGAGACTCTTTAATGGACTCTGTCGTTTTCTGACCACTACTGCCATTTGTTTGTCACTTTGCCTTACTGTAGTGGCTTGTTTGTTGCTATGATGCTGGAAGCTGTGCCTCCCGTAATTCAAATATCAGCAGTGTCCTCCATGGTGGACAGTTTTCCGTGGAGCTTCCAGGCCAAGACAGACTAGGAAAAGAGGCCTGGTGAGCTACTTCAGAAAATTAGCCAATGAAAAAACCCTGTGGATCATAACAGAATAATGTCTGATACAGTGCTGGAAGATGAGCTCCTTAGATTAGAAGGCACTCAGAATGTGCAACAGCAGCAACAACAGACTTGACATTGACTTCAGTGATCATGCAGTTGATGCAGACCTGGACAGTCTTGGTTTCGTTCTTGTTAAGAAGGTCATCATGAGTTGGAGCTGACTAAGCAGCAGCTAACAGCAACATCTTGTTCTGAACATACTAGATACTTAACAGTGTCACAAAACTCAGAGTTCTTATGTGTTTCATGTATTGAGGGTAACTGTAATAGGCATTGTACTCAGTGCATCTACCATCTCTGGTCACCCTCCCAGTGGTCAATGATCATAGGGAGTGAATGGTCTTATCTTCATTTCACTATTGAGGAAAGTTGTAGTTGCTTAAGTTGAATCTCTTTTAATGTCTATGAAAGGCTGATTAATTTTGAAAGAAAGAATAAGTATGAAAGTAAATTCTTCACTCTGGTGGAATCAGGTGGTATCACTTTGTAATGAGATGATTATTTTGTTTTTCTTGGCCATAGCCGTTTTAGAAGGGATGAGGTGGTATTTCATAGTGATTTTGATCTGCATCTCCCTAAGAACTTAGCTCTGGTAACATAGTGGATAAGGCACTTGACTGCTAACTGGAAGGTCAGTGGTTCAAACCCACCAGCTGTTTTGTGGAAGGAGGACGGGGCGATCTACTTCCGTAAAGATTTATAGCCTCAGAAATGCAGTGGGTTTCTCGCTATGAGTTGGAAACGACTGGATGTCAGTGAGTTTGGTTGTTTGGTTGAGAAGTTAAGGAAGGAGCTCTGGTGGCATAGTGCCTAAGGCATTTGAGTACTAACCAGAAGGTTAGCATTCCAAACCCACCAGCCACTCTGTGGAAGGAAGACAGGGCAATCTATTTCCATAAAGATTTAACACCTTGGAAACCCAGTGGGAGTCATTATGAGTAGGAATCAACTCGGTATCAGTAGGTTTGGTTTGGTTTAGTTTAATGGTTAATGAGACTAGGAGTATGTCATTGCTTATCTCTTTACGATCCCGAAGGGCTTGTGTTCTGGATTGTTTCCCAGTCTGCTATCAATTGATGGTTGATACAGTTTGAAGATGCTAGACCATTTTTATTGTTGTTGTTTTTAAAACCAACACAGAATATACTACAGGATCTAGAGTATGTGTGCCTCTTGTGTCGCATAACAGGAAACATTTGGAAAAGCCTGGCTTCAACTGGAAATTCAAAGAGGAATTGGAAATGTAGCCATTAAAACAATAGTTTTAACTGTTTCTTCAAATGTTTTATGGAAAAATAGGACATTAGTTTTGTTTTAATTTGTAATTTTGATATAAATCGACTACCACTTTTCCTAAGAATTTGGGCTATTTAAAAATCGCTTGTGTGTGTTTTTTCAAATCCCTGCTTTTCTTTTGGTTATAAAAAATACTCCAGCAGCATCTCTGGAATCAGGTTTTGAAACTTAAATTGTCTAGTAATGAACATCAGGATTTCATTCTTTGAAATTGCCTGGAAGATTGCCTTAGAATGAATTATCCCAGAAATAGCAGTGTTCTCTATGCTCTTTCTCTAATCTGCACTACCTAACCCTACATTTTCATGTGTAGAGTATACGCTTCTTTGTCTAACAGTTACCTCTGGAATACCTTACAATGCTGTGGCAATTGCTAAATGAGTTGGTGTACATTAAGGAAAAAAGCACTTTTAAAACAGTATTTGGATCAATAAATAGATATAAAAAATGTGGATTACCACCTTGAAAAGGATTCATCGTTGTGTTGAGGTGATTCTGACTCATGGTGACCCCTTCTTTGTCAGAGTAGAACTGATACTTCATAGGTTTTTCGATGGTTGATTTTTTGGAAGTAGATCCACAGGCCTTAATTCGAAGGCATCCCTAGGTGGACTCAAATCTCGAACCTTTCAGTTATCAGCTGAGCATGTTAACCCTTTGTACCACCCAGGGACTTGTAAAGAATTGGAATGCCTTAAATTCTTTAAACAATAAAACCTTTACTGTAAAATAAATTATGCTGTGATTTAGAATATCTCACACTACTACACCACCAGAGCGCCTTATGATTTTTTTTTTTAATTGTGCTTTGGCTGCAAATTTACAGAGCAAAATTTGTTTTTATATTCAACAATTCGTGTACATTTGATTTTATGCCGCTATTACCACTCCCAACCATAACCCACTCTCCTCTCCTCCCTTCCCTGTGACCACCCCCTCCCTGTGCCCTTAACTTGCACTCCTGTCTATCCAGCTTTTGTTTTTAATGCATTTTATGAAATATAATTTATGTACAGTGAAATACACAAAACTAAAGTGACATGGGTCAATGCATTGTTTTTTGCTTTTTTGTTTTTTTTGCAGTGTTCCCTCCCACCCCTCCCCCACCCCTGGTAATCAACAAAGAAAGTTCCCTTCTGTACATAAACCTTTCTGACTTTTTCAATAAAGAACTAATACTATATTTGTCCATCTGTGATTGACTTATTTCACTTAGCATAATTTCCTCCAAGTTCATCCATGTTATGTGGTATTTTGCAGATTCTCCATTATTCTTTAGGGTTGTGTAGTATTCCATTGTGTATATGTATCACAGTTTGGTTATCCATTCTTCTGTTGATGTGCCCGTAGATTGTTTCCATCTTTTTGCTATTGTAAATAGTGCCACGATGAACATGGGTGTGCATATATCTCTTCTTGTCCTGGCTCTCATTTCTTTAGGATATATACCTAGTAATGGAATGGCAGGGTCAAATGGTATTTCTAATTCCAGCTTTTTAAGGAATCGCCATACTGTTTTCCACAGTGGTTGTATCATTTTGCAGTCCCACCAGTAGTGTATGTGAGTCCCAATCTCTCCACATCCTTGCCAGCATGTGCCATTTTCTGTCTTGTTGAACTTTGCCATTAGTGCTGGGATGAGATGATATCTCGTTGTTTTGATTTTCATCTCTCCTTCCGAGGAGTGGCTGGTGGGTTTGAACCGCCAGCCTTCTGGTTAGCAGTCAAGTGCCTTAGGCACTATGCTACCAGAGCTCCTGATGGCTAATGATCATGAGCATTTATTTCTTCATGTATTTGCTGGCAGCCAGAATATCCTCTTTGGTGAAGTGTCTATTCATGTCTTTTGCCCATTTTTTAACTGGATTGTTAATCTTTTTGTTGTTGAGGTATTGGAGTTTTCTATAAATTTTAGAGATAAGTCCCTTGTCAGATGTGTAATTATTGACAGTATGAATTTGTTGCTGTAATTTTTGTTATATGCTTTTTCCTGGTGTTGATTTCTTTGTTCTATATAATTTTCTGTTGTGAGCTTGTTTTGTTTATGAATCGTGTTATCTGTTCTTCCATTGTCATTGTTTTAGTATTTGTTAAATATTTGTACTGGCCTTTTTTATTTTGGTGTGAAGGTTTATCATTTTTCTTTGAGGTTGTCCCGTGATTTATAATTTCTTCCCAAGTTTAGAATAGTCTGTTCTATCTTCTCATTTAGAAGTTCTGTAATTATGCAGTTTTTTCCCTCTTTTTGGTTTGCAGTTGTCTTCATTTGTCAATTGATGTCTCTGGTTCCCTGTTACAACCGTGTAGGCTTATTTACAGTAGATATTTCTACAACTGGGTTGGTTTCTGGGTTATGTCATCATGTGTGTTAATGGTCAATTGTTGTTTACTGTTGTTGGTTCTCTGTCCAAAGGACTCCCTTTAGCATCTGGGAGTGTGAGACCTCCCACTTTGTTTTTCTTCTTCAGCAGTCCTTTGCTTATCTGAGATATCTTTCCTTTCTATATGAAATTAGTGATTGGTTTTTCCATGTCCTTGAAAAATGTTGATGGAATTTGGATCAAGATTGCATTGAATGTGTATATTTCTTTGGGTAATAATGACATTTCACAATATTCAGCCTTCCTACCCATGAACAAGGTAGGTTCTTCCATTTATGTAGATCCCTTGTAGTTTCTTATAG